CAAACTCTGGAACTCACTCCCACCCGACATCCGAAATATTGACTCATCTCAAAACCCACCTATTTAAAATTGCATATACAGTTTAAACTCATTGCTTTTATTATTTATAAGTTTATCTGTGGTTTTATTGCTCTTTTGATTGTAAAGTGTCCTTGGGTATTTTGAAAGGCGCTTATAAATAAAATGTATTATTATTATTATTATTATTATTATTAAACAAGACACAATATGATTTTTTTTCTTTTCAATTTAAACAGAATTCCAAAAGACACTGCGCACACCCATTACAAATTAGTTAATCAAACCTTAAAGAGTGCTTTGAATCCATGAAGACACAACTCAAAATGCTTCACATAATTAAAATCATCCACCCCACCACCCACAGGGACGCAAACACATGCAAACATACAGTACCGAAGGTAAAAGGATTTGAGGCTGGGTGTTCAGCATTTTTTGAGGACACACCATCTCAAGAAGTCGTTTTTCCCAGAACCAGATCGCAGGCTGCAGCCACAGGCCTCCAGCATTAGGTCCCCATGACAGCGGTGCAGCAGATGCCTGCAAGCACAGCGCCTGAGGACCCATGCTGCGAGACCAAGACACACAGCGCCAACAAGGAAAATTATACACCATTGCTTTTATAGTAAAAAAAGAAAAAGTCTAAACTTAATCAGACATTAGACTCTAACATAATTCTAAATCTAACAAATAACAGACTACAAATATCAGAGGCATGTAAAAATGAATAATAACATCGTGAATAATATTGAAAATATGCAAACAAAATTGAGAAGAGTAAATATTAGTTAAAACCTCAAAAAAAAAAAAAGGTGGGTTTTGAGCCTGCAGTCCTGAGTTTTGAGATGACCAAAGAAGATCAAAGCCGGAGGACCTCAGAGCTTATGCAAGTTCATAGAGTAAATAAAAAGAGTGAAGAAAAAAAAGAAGGCACCAGACCATGAAGACATTAAAAGTATATCAATAAATAAACAAAATTGAAAAGTAACCTTCAAATCAATCCTGAAATACAAAGGAAGCCAATGCAGAGATTTTAAAATGGTTCAATGTTCTTTCACCCACTGGTCTTTACAAAAGCCACATTCGTTCCACCTGAACAATCTGATGATATCAAATACCAGATGTGTATCAAAGCTCAATGTGGGATGGCACAATCGTCGGGTTGCTAAACATCAGGTTATTATTGTGGTTGTTTCTCCACACGTTGCCTTTTCTTTCATAATATTTTGGCCCTTTATGTTGTTAAATAATAATGAAAAAAATGTATATCCCTATTCCCCTTAATATATATTTTTATAATTGATCCATCCATCCATTTTCTAATCTGCTTATCCTCACAAGGTTCGTGGGCGTGTTGGAGTCTATCCCAGCCATCATGGGGCAGTTGGCGAGGTACACTGAACTGGTTGCCAGCCAATCACATCCAAACAAACAACCATCCGCACTCATAATCACACGAAGGGACAATTTTGAGTGTTCAGCCAGCCTACCATGCACGTTTATTTTGGCGGCGGGGGTTAGAGGAAACCAGAGTACCTGGAGAAAACCCACCCAGGCACATGAGAGCATGCAAATTCCACACTGCAAGGCAGCAGCCGGAATCGGACCCTGTACCTCTGCACTGTGAGGTCCACGGGCTAACCAGTCACCCACTGTGTCTCCCCTTTATAATTGATCATATCCCTTATCATGTTGCAATGCAGTCGAAAATATTTAAGACTTAATTTGAAATCTGTGTAAATACTGTTTTGTTTTTCATACCACTCTTGAGTTGGGGGTTTTAGTTTTTCCAGGTATTGTAAATGTGAGAGCATTTCACTCTGTGGAAATAGTAAGTGCGGTTATGACTAAAAGGATGAGGGTGATGTGTTGTTCAGGAAGGGAAAAAAAGTTCCCTTAAAAGCATGTAGTAACACGATCTCATTGATTCGTGGCTTTACTGGCCGCCAGTGCTTCAATGTACATATCTTTCACTTCATCGTTTGCACAACCAGACAATGCGAAAGTAACATTACGTCCTTTCTTTTTCATTTCATAGGAGTCCAACTTAGTAAAATCTATATTTTTGGGTAGTTTGAAACCTGGTATGTAGTAGTTCTGTGTGATTCTATTCTACTGCCGTATGCATAGTTTGATCGCTGAATTCAATTCACTGCTCCAGACCATTATTCAGTACCAGCCATTTTCAGACTCTTTTGATAACCCTTGAAAGTCTTGAAAAAAATTGTAAAAAAAAAATGCCATACCTGGGGTTGAATGTGTGGAGTCTGAAAACACATAAAAATGTCTCAATTGAAGCATACTGATGCATTTCCTAAGAAAATGTGAAAGAAAAAAAAACACCCTCGACCAAGATGAAGTCACACAGAAAAGTTTACGCTTGGTGTTTGAACACTGACAGCTTCCCTGTCCCTGCTGAAACAACCACAAGATGTTTCCATGCAAATACATACTTGCACATGCTGCTGCCTCTGCTTGTAGGAACTAGTCCTCAGGCATGTGAAGTGTGCCCTATTACAAAATTTCTAAAACTAATCCAAATAAATCTGATCTTCTGATGCTAAACATCTGATATGCGAAGTAGACGAGAGTTGTCTTACCTTGAAGAGCTGCTCAGTGAAGTACAGGCGCGGACCCCGAGGAGGAGATGAGGAGTACAATCAGAAACAGTAGCGATTCAGATGGCTCCGCTCTGAGTGGGAGAGGGCTGCAGATTTAGTAGCCCACTCGGAACAGGCGTGGTGTACCCCAACAAAACACAGTGAGAGGGGAAGGAGGGGCATGTTTTTCACTACTCCCAGCACTATGACTGCACCCTCGCCGACAACGTTGCGAAGAGAATGACAGATGTGTGTTTGTGATGAGTGACACGATTACAGTAGTAGTTGCACATGACAGATGGTGGTTCTAAAGCCAACTCACACAATCAATACAAATTAAGTGCATGGTATGTGCAAAAATAATATTCAGAATAACAAAGTTCTGATCATTTGTTATGAAATATAATGGCATGTAGGAGAGGTTTTGTAACCTATTTCAGGTAAAGTTTGTGTCAATACACCAAAACTTTTTTACCAGCTATTTTGCCAGTATGTCTCACAAAATGATCTTTTTAACTTTTTAATTGCTCATTCTTTTTGAAGGATCCAAGACACATTTCCATTTGAGACACGAGCCCCAATGTCCCATCTGAGCTCATAAACCATGATTTGTGAAAATAAAAATCGAACAAAATGAGATAAAATTATTCCGACAAAGAGGTAAGCGAGATGATCATTTGTGGTTTGAATGTGAAAGATTAGAGGGAGCAAAGGAATGGATCCAGATGAGTTAAAGTGTAAGAGGCTTGAATTGTACCTGATATTTAGAAGGTAATTTTGTATATGACAAAAAGAGTAGTGTTCAAGAATAACATTTTCAGCATGCGGGTATTGGGGGGTGGGGGGTGTCTAATGTCAGGACTTCAGAGCAATCTTTGAGTTTAATGGTCTAACACAGGGGTACCCAAATTTTTTTGACTGAAGATCTACTTTTCAAACAAACTGACCTCCCGCAATCTAAACCGTGATCTCACGTTAATGCATGCACACACGCACGCACAAGCACACGCATGCCACGATGAGCAACAGACAAAACGGCCCCTATGATGAACAGAAAAATGAAGTACATATAATAATTTGTCCCCGCGATCCTTGTGAAGATAAGCAAATCAGAAAATGGATGAATGGATGGGTGGATAATAGTTTGTGAGTTTATGAAAAGGAAATCACTGCCTACCTTCATGAAGACAAGGCATTTGATGCACTTTTGCAGTGTCTTAAGTGCAGAAATGTACATATGTATGTTGTGTACCATTGTAAAGTGCTTCTCTTGGCGCTCTAGATTGCCATTCTTTGCCAGTACTATCGGTGAATTGTTCATGAAGCACACTTTGAATGAGAATCATAAAAATGAAAAAACATATCGCAACAGCTCTGATCGCAAGCTGCAATTGCAGTCTGCTGACCGCTCAACTTCCGGTGATGCATATCATGCGCTGCTGTAGGTTAAAAGTGTACTGTTTTTATTTTTTTATTGAATTTTTTTAATACTATTTTATTGTGAAAGTGAAACTGATCAGATTAGTGTCCAGTGTGCATGAACACCAAAATATAAAATATGAACAACATGCACACAGGCACACAAATGCTGTATTTATTTATTTCCAATTTCCCCCTACACCAATCACAGTGACGTGGCACCAGGGATGGAAGAGGAAGCGTGCTGGGTAGGTTGGGACCTTGATGATGCAAAGCATATGACTGCGGGTAGGCTGTTGCCAACAACCTTTGGCGCAGCCTATAACATCCTTGGTAGAACCTCCTCTGCAGCCAATCAGCCACTGTGCCATACCATGATGCTGGTGCTGAGGACGCTCTCCATTCCCACATCAGCAGAAACTGCTCAAGACAAAGCTTACCAGTACGGTATGTCGCAAGTATGTCGCAAGTAATAATAATAATTATAATAATAATAATAATACATTTCATTTATGCCTTTCAAGACACTCAAGGACACTTTACAACCAAAACCAGAACAATAAAACCACAGATAAAATTATAAATAATAAAAGGAGAGATGAATTTAAACTGAATATGCGATTTTAAATAGCGATTTTAAATACAGTCAAACCTCGGTTTTCGAACGTCTCGGTTCTCGTCCAATTCGGATTTCGACGCAAAATTTTGAGTTTTTTATGCCTCGGAATGACGAACAAACTTCGGTTCTCGAACAAACTGAACACACTTGAATGCACCATTTGACTCCTCGCCTTCCTTACACGAGGAAGTGACACTTCCTCGGGTAGACGAGGAAGTGACGCTTCCTCGTATTGCTTTCCATTGTGAGCAGACGTGTTCAGTAAACATTTTTATTTTAAAAAGAGCGTGGTTTCGGTTTTCGAACAATTTCGGTTTTCGAACAGCCTTCTGGAAGAAGATTATGGATGAAAACCGAGGTTTGACTGTAGTTGACGCCGGCAACATCGCCGTCGCGAGGAGCACTAGCCGACCCAGCCAGGCCTGGCCAACACGCCGTGGTCCGCGGATCGGCCGTCGTTTCTGCCGTTGTCTTTACGTGGCCAGCGGCAGGACGACCAAAAGGAGGGGATGCCCCTGGAGCCCTCAAGGTGGAAGCCCCGACGAGATCCGTGACGGATGCACCTCCGGGAAGGACGAGGAGCGACGCCCGGGAAGTGGTGCAGCGCAGGCGGGGAGCCCGACCACCGGAAGCGGAGCCCAAGAAGCAACG